GTGCTATGTTATGCATTTTAGCTGTACTTTTGTTTTCCATCCTCATTGTATCTGATAAATTAATAACATTTTTCCTTTAATGCTCTGATGACTTGCTCCTCCACAGACTTTAAACATTGTAAAGTTGTTGAAGGTCTTGAGTTGAACTGCAACGTTGAAGCAATAAATCATTCTGAAGGCAAAATCACTTAAGTAGGGAAGTGAAAAAAATTCACAAGTAGAGATCATCTAACTTTATTTTCTCAAATAGGTTATATCTACATTGAAATTGGGAAGACGCTTGGACCACCTGGTGTCTTCCCCACTGTAGCATTCACCCCGTTTGAACAAATAAAATCTGCACCACCCCTTATAAAAAAATATTTTTACAACGCACTATCCAAGCAAATTTGCCCTTTCTGGATATGGATGTATCTGTCTCGGTTATTCTGTGACAATTTATTGAGATCTGTTGGTGAAGTATTCTGGGAGGAATTAATTCTTATGGTATCGTGATGTGGATTTGTTCAGTCCATGTATCTAATATTTTTTATTCCTGCCTTTCATGCAATCAATTATGCAGTGGTAGTGTCAGTTGTTTTCCGGTGTAGTGTCATTATCTTCCAGTATATAGCAGTGAAAGAAACATATTTTTATCTTTTCAAAATAATAATAATAATGGAGTTGTTTTCTCACGTGAGTTCTATATTTAATATATTTCTATTTCAGGTAATGTTTCCATCAACTCTTCTTGGTACTGGTGAAAACTGGACACTGATGAAGAGCATCAGTGTTACAGAGTATTTAAATTATGAAGCTGGTAAGTGCCCATGTGTTTGATTTGGGCCATACACTGTGGAGAAATTAATTGATTTGAGTTGGATTAGTGCATGCTAGATAAGTTAAGTCATAAATTCTCCATATTAACAGCTGGTATGTACTTTTATTTGCTTGGTTTCTGTAGGGAAATTTTCCAAGAGTAAAGGTGTAGGAGTTTTTGGCAATGACGTAAAGGATACGGAAATACCTGTAGAAGTTTGGAGATATTACTTATTAACCAATAGACCTGAGGTATCCCTGTTCAGTGTTACTGACATCATTTATGACCGTTTTGTTTGATCTTGGATTCTACTTACTGCTTTTTGTGATTTTATTTTGGAAAACTAGGTTTCTGACACCTTGTTTACATGGGACGACTTGCAAGCAAAACTGAACAATGAATTGCTTAGTAATTTGGGAAACTTCATCAATAGAGTTTTGAGCTTTATTGCAAAACCTCCTGGTTAGTCATCTGGTTTACTGGAATCCTTTTGTTTTTTAAGAAGTTGGATATTGTTCTTGCGTTGGGAGTTTGAGATTTGTTGGTAATGATATATTCGAGTTGGTGGGGGAAAGAATCATGTTGTCTGTGATAAGGTCTGGAATTTTAGTTCATAATTGACAAGATTTGTTTATGTTTGCTTAAAGCTTTATAGTCCAGGGATACTGATGAAGTGGCATGTAAGTTATACTCCTAGATCCTGATATCAAGAAATTACCCCCAAACATTTTGCATACTATTGGCGGTGAAATAACTAGATGCTACGTCTGAAACAGTCTGATTGAGAATTTGTTAATAAGTTTGGTGCTTCAACCCCAAAATTTTTGTTTAACTTTTCTTTTGTTTTGGGAAATGTATACATATTTAGCAAACATTTTTTGTCTAATCATAATTAATTCTAGGGTAAACTATGCATTTAGTACCTAAACTATCAATTTTAATCCGTTTTAGTACCTAAACTTTCAACTTTTTTAAAAGTATACCTAACATTTAGTTTTTGTTTCATTTTAGTACCACGCCATTAAAAAACTTAACATATTTAGTACTTAAACTATCAGTTTTGGTCAGTTTTAGTATCTAAACTTTCAATTGTTTTCAAAACGTAACGTTAAATTTTGAATGGGGTACTAGAATGAAACAAAAACTAAACTTTAGGTATGGTTTTAAAAAAATGAAAGTTTAGGTACTAAAATAGACCAAAACTGATAGTTTAGGTACTAAACGCGTAATTTACCCTTAATTCTATGCCAAGTGGATTCAACTAATGGTTGCTGTCTATAGGTCAAGGATATGGTTCCATAATTCCTGATGCTCCAAATGCCGAGTCACATCCCTTGACAAAGGCTTTGAGTGAGAAAGTTGGTAAACACTTGGAGCAATATATAGAAGCCATGGAGAAGGTGACTGGTCTTAAACGACATTACATTTAAATGAAACCTGCCACCCTCCGCATCTTCATATTGTCATAACTGCTTTTACAAATGTTTGGAACATTCTGCAGGTGAAACTAAAGCAAGGATTAAGAACTGCAATGAGCCTCTCAAGTGAAGGAAATGCATATCTTCAAGTAAGTTGAAGAAACTTGTAGTTCTAGAAATCAATTTGTTGAGTTGTATTGTTCCGGCTATTGTACTTCTTCTGATGTGTTTTGTTGATAATTTCCATTCAGGAAAGCCAATTTTGGAAACTTTACAAAGAAGACCAACCTTCTTGTTCAACTGTCATGAGAACTGCAGTGGGTCTAGTGCATATTCTTGCATGTCTATTGGAACCTTTCATCCCATCTTTTTCCATTGAGGTAATCTTTGTGGTGGACCAATTTTTTATTGGTGTGATTGAAAATAGTTCTGTTACATGTAGTGGTAGCCGTCTAACTTGATTTCTCATGCTATATTTTCTGTTGGGGTGCACTTAAAGGTATTTAAGCAGCTTAATTTGTTGCCTCAAGCACAAATTTCGCTGTGTGAGGAGAAAGGAGATGTCGATAGGGCTAGAAGACCGTGGGAGATAATACCTCCTGGGCATAAAATCGGAGATCCAAAACCTTTGTTTGAGGAACTGGTACCTCCACTATGCTATATGACAATATGTCAATGTTTCATTCTTTCTCCTTTACCTTTTTTAACTATTATTTTTGGTTGCTTGCATTGCTTGTTTTTCTTTTATTTATTTTTATATATTTGTCGCACTTATATTATAAACATAAAAATTAATGACAGAAAGCTGAAAGAGTTGAAGAACTGAGGCAGCAATACGCTGGAAGTCAAGCTGATAGGCGTGCTAGGGCAGAAGCCGATGCTGCAAAGACTGCGGAGCAACTGAAGAAAACAAAAATTTCAGGTTGGATATGTTTCCTTTGTTATATGTAAAGTATTATCATCTAAAAGAATTATATGCCCCTAATTGAAACATCTCAATATAATTAAAATCCTTTGACATTTATAGAATTAATCTTATCATTAAAGCTTTAGATTATAACAAAAAATGTATTGTACATGGCAAAAAGTCCTCTTGATTTGCAGAAGCTCATTTTGAGATTTTATCGTAAGCTAAAATCCGTTCTCTAAGCAACTGCAACAATTTTTGGTTCTCGATTCCTATTTGTTAGATATGTTTTGTACGTGCTCGCTTGCTTACGTCTTAGCTGTTATTATTACAGATAACAAGAAACAAAAGCCAAAAAAATCTTCAGCCGAGTCTAAAGAAAATCCTACTACCGAACAAGAAATTTCCATTACGAGACTCGACATCCGGGTTGGCAAAATTATAAAAGCTCAAATGCATCCCGATGCTGATTCTTTGTATGTTGAAGAGATCGACGTGGGTGAGGCCCAGCCTCGAACAGTAGTTAGTGGACTCGTAAAGTATATTCCTTTGGAAGAGATGCCGGTATTCGTTCTTTGCCTAGTAATTATGCAAGTTATTGGTACATCATTTTTGGGGAAGATGAGCTACTTGTTCTATGTCTGAGGTTTTTCCACTTCTAATATCTTGTTTGGATTTGCCATTGGGCAGAACCGGCTGGTTTGCGTTCTTTGCAATTTGAAACCGGCAACCATGCGCGGTATAAAATCACATGCAATGGTTCTTGCTGCTTCGAACGATGACCACACCAAGGTACACAACTAGCTTTGATTATTGGCATCAACCCGTGACGTGTGATTTAATGGTTGCAACGTAGACACCGTCATAGGCTTGTATACCGGAATTACAAATCTAAGTTTCACTGATGTTTTATCAGGTGGAATTGGTTGAACCACCAAAGTCGGCCACAGTCGGAGAGCGAGTTACCTTTCCAGGTTTCACGGGTGAGCCGGACGATGTGTTAAACCCGAAGAAGAAGGTTTGGGAGACTCTTCAAGTGGATCTGCACAGCGATGCGAACCTAGTGGCTTGTTATAAGGATATTCCTTTGACCACATCGGCTGGGGTTTGCAAAGTTTCCTCCATTAGCAATGGCTCAATTCGATAAGATCTCTGGGAAAGTATTAGACCACTTATGCCTATGTTCCTTTTTTTCTCACTCTGTTCTAATGATCGCAAATCTTTTTCCAGAATTTTGGCAGTTCCATTTGCCCCCTCATATATTCGAATTAACTTTTTTAATACATTATAATAGAGGTGTTCAAATTCGGATATCAGATCCAATTTTATCTGAAATTTCTAATATTAAAAAAAATATTAATACTTAAAACAGTGATCTGTATTCGATTATCTGATAAAATCGGATATCCGAATTTGAATAAAAATTTTAATTTTGATAAAAAAATTATTTTATATTTTGTAATTTAATAACTTATTTGACACTTTTATTATATATATATATATATATATATATATATATATTTAAGGTAAATTATATGTTTAGTATTTTTTGGTATATATATTTTAAATTTTTTAAAAATAATACTTAAAGTTACTTTTTGTTTCATTTTGGTTTTGAAAATATCAGTTTAGGTACTAAAAAATTGTATATTGATTAAAGGAATGCTTTTAAGTTGGTTATTGATACTATATTATATATAATTAATTTAGCATGTACACTTTTTTCTAGTAGATATCTTTACAAGGCAAATCAAAAGAAAATAATGATGTATAAATATTCAAATTTTAAAATAAAGTAAATTGAATCGATTAATTGCTTGACAAATTATGAAATTTTAAGTTGTTTACATGTCAAACATTAAGTCAAGGTGTGACCATGGGCATACACTGTGATAGGATCAAATGTACAACATGGACGGTCGAGGAGACTAGGAATTCTATGACAGTAGATTCTTCATATCCTACTGATGACGATGATGTTACTCAGGTATACCTCATATCTGATCTAATGCTTTGTTTTCTTTCGAAGAATTCCGATGGTGTCTACATGAGGAAGGGGATGGGGTCTACCATGGGACATATGACAACGACGATGACGGTGAAAGCGAAAATAATGAATTAATTCATTCAGAATCAAATTTCTCGTTCCATAACCACCATCAAGAGTCATGAACATTTGTACACACATTTTTTAAAGTTAAAAAGTAACAGAAATAGAAACGACAGGAAATGTGCATAACATTTTTTTTTATTGATCTTCTTCGTAACATTTTAGATTGATAACTGAAAATATTAAATTTTTATAACATTTTAAATTATGTTCCATCTAAAATATTATATATAAATTTTTAATTACGATTATTTTCATTTTTTTCTTATTTTAAATTAGACTGTCATAGCGTGGGAGCATCTAGGGATGGGTATGGGATCCGAACCCGAAGGGTTCCAACTCGATTGGGTCGGTTTTATATATATATATATTTTTTTTTGGATCGGGACGGGTCAAATTTTTTAAAAGGTGGTGTTCGGGTCGGGTCGGATTAAGATTTAGCGTGAAAAATACCCGACCTGACCCGACCCGAAAAAATATATTTTTATCTTATATATTTAGGAATAATTACAATAATACTCCTTTATATATTTTTTTAATTAGATTACTGTTTTTATTGAATAAAAATAATATTTTATTATTATTTCGGGTTGAATCTAGTCGGGTTCGAATTTTATTTCAAAAAGTAGGGTCGAATTTAGATCGGGAGCATGATATACCACTCCACACTGCAAACTCTTGTAAGTACTCCGCTTCCCCAAATGCTTCTGACATTAGATAAACGTCTCGCCAACCGAAACATAATATTAGAAAATATCGTTTCTGTATATCTGATTGGAAGATTATTTTTCCTTGAATTGGTTTGCTTAGTAGAAACAATGGCTAAATTTAGGGTTTATTTGATTGTTCTTAATTTGGGATGGGAAATGAACTTGGTTAACATTGCTCATTCAGATTTATAAATTTGTAATCCTTTATTGCTTTCCAGGTTGATTTGTTATGTGAATTTTCGGAACTATTTTCAGGCAACAGCAGGGTGATGAAACTCCAATGGTGTGGGAAATGCTTCTATATTTTTACATACTCTACTCACCAGACTGGCACTATCGGAGTACAATGCCTACTTTTCTGTTCTTTTATGGGGTTGGATTTGCAGTAGTCCATGCTCTCTTACGTTTCGGAATTGGCTTCAAGGTGCATTATGTCATTCTTTGCCTTCTCTGCATCCCTCGAATGTACAAATACTACATCTACACGAAAGATGCCGCTGCAAAACGACTTGCAAGGTTATATATTGCAACTTTGCTCCTGGGAAGTATATGTGGTCTTTCAGACCGGGTATTCTGCAAGCATATATCTCAATGGTACTTCAACCCTCAGGGTCATGCACTTTGGCATGTCTTCATGGGCTTCAATTCGTATTTTGCCAACACATTCCTGATGTTTTGCCGCGCACGGCAGCGAGAGTGGGATCCGAAAATCGTCCACTTCTTGGGTGTTCTCCCTTATGTCAAAATTCAAAAACCAAAGAGCCAATGAAAATGTTTGCTTGCTGCACAATCCAAATTCTTTTTTACCCAGAAAAGATGAATGGAAGAAAGTTGTTTTGTGATTTGTCCCATATTTTAACATTCATATTCTCTCTTATTAGCTTGAATGACTTTCATGGATTTGAACACTTAGTTTTACAGAAATTAGTTTGATGTATTTGTGAGTGATAGAAATAGGGCAAAAATTTTGGTTTTTGAGGGCTCTTTTTCAACTTTTTCATATTTTTGAACAATGTATTAATGATTTTTTTTCTGGGAAAATTAAGGTGACTGAATGAATTAAATGAGTGAACTTCACTGTTATTATTGGTTTCAGCAAGCATAGCTTTTACATATACATTCATACATACTTATACAGGCATATGAAAGCCTACCTCATTATCAAATAAGCCATAAGCACTCACCACTCTAAATACCCAAAGCACACACAAATACAACAAGAACACACCAGTTAAACAAGCCCAAGAATGAATGAAATCAATCAAACTAAAACACACACCAAACCATATAAATTCTACAGTGAGAAACAATAGCTTTCCGTTGATCATACAACTAAGCCGAGAAATGCCTTTGAAATCAGGTATTTCTTGCTGATTCTTGTGAGTAGTTGCAGAAAGGATCTCTTAGGACTCTGCGGTCGCTAGCTGCTTCAATGGTCTCCTGGTTAATGGTTTAATTGATGACATTGTTACAGTAAAACCGTTGGATCGTAGGATAAAACAGTTTTAGGGGGAGTTAAATGAGCCCCTCTTGTTTGTCGGGGTGTCGCCAGCCATCCTTCCCATGCGGAGGGCTTTACTAGCTTGCTTTTAGTGAACGGAACTCGGTCATTTGCCTTTTAGGAGTTGGTGTCAGTCAAGTAGTTCTTCAGCATCATATTCAGCTTCAAGAGTTTCATATATGTAGCTACTTATGGTGTCTTCCACTAAATCTTCAAGGATGGTGTCGTCCATCTCAAGACCAATACAATCGGTGTCGAACCTAAGGTCCATCCATGTTTCTGTCTTAGCCATGTCTTTTCTGACTATCTGGTCCAAAGTCCGAGGGTGTGGCAGTGGGAGCAAATGCCAATAAACTCCTTGCCAGACCTCTTCAATGGTGTTTTTGGCATTGGGGATCGGACGGATATTAGGTTTAACAAATGACACACCAAGGGAACCGAAATAGTACACATAAACCTCCATGAGAACTTCATTAATGCAATCAAAGTTGGTAGTCTTATATTCTGTACCAAGTTCAGAGTCTTTTAGTTTGCTCGTCTTTTCTCCTTTTTTGACACCAATAGGTGACCTCGACATTCTTTCAATAAAAAAGTTGGTCTTTAGTTGGAGAATTCATCCCAATATATTCCTTAACTCCTCAGTTGCTCACCGAATTTTGTTGCTCGCCCGGAAGTCTTCCGGATATACGATCAGTGGGGATTCTTTGTTGCTCCCTTCCCATAGCATGTTTCCACTTTCTTTTGATTTCAGCAAGAAGAAAGTGGGAACCGACTTTCTCATTTTGCTCTCTATGTCTTACTATGAACTGAGATTCTGGTGATGAACCGAGGCTGCTTCCAGTTTTAGGAGTCATCGGCCCAGACTTCGACTTTCTATTACCAGGCTCATTTGATTGTCTTAAACGAACAGGTTCATTCTCGGAAAAGTTGGATGGAGTGAGAGGCTTAGACTCTTCATCCTTTAACTGAAAATCCTGCATGTTTTTAACATATTTCACCAGCAATGAGTTTGGATTTCGTAAAAACTTCAAAAACAAGTCCTCATCTAAACTCAAAATTCGAAGTGCATCCATGACTTCTTTTGAGGCTTGGAATTCCCCATCATCGGCAAGTAGATCCCTGTCGACAAGCTTCCGTCTCGCTAAGAACTTGATTGCCTCACTTAACCTTTCTTCTAAATCAGAACTCTTTGGGTTTGACTGCATATTAGCTTCAGCAAGCTGGTCATGATTCACACAATTCATTCTTTTCCGATGGATTTGCCGACAAAACTCTTCCATTAGACCATCCATATCAAGATTGCTTGTAGTTTGATGTTGCTCGGATTTATCCTGACATGATACTTCAGATAACAGGTTCCTTGCACCGAGTCAAACTGCTTTGCTTCAACGGCAGAATTATTTAACTCCTTTCTCTCAGCTTGCTTTACCAACATTTCTTCTTCAATGAGTTTCTTCACACTCGGCTTACATGCATCGGTCGCTTGTGTTTTCTCTTCACCATCCTGTAAATGTGTGTGTGTATATATATTAATATCAACAACAACTGAAAAGCTTACTACAATTCCACCCTTCTAATGAATACATACATATCAATGTTTTAAAAATTATGATGGAATCGGGTCAAATTTCCGAAGCTTACATGAGTTCTCGAACACTTGTCACCAGAACTGTCAAGTTTATTTCCAGAATTTCCCACACCTGCAAAGTTAAAGAGAAAATACAGCATTGAAAAAAATACTTAGAACAATACGGACCGGGAAGAGCAGAACAAATATCTAAGTACAAGGAACAAACAAGACTAATGATCTCTGAAAGCTATAAGGCCAATCAAAAAGACCATTTAGCTTTGCAACTACAAACCGAGTTCGATCCGCATGAAAGCGATCGAAAAGGCCAACTAAATAGCTTTGAAACTATAAACCAAGTTCTATCTGCATGCAGGCAAATGCTTCAAAGTTCCTTGGAGAACTTACCGCCGGCATACTTGTTCCCACGCCTTATATCAGATAGCAGTCTCTGAGACGATCTCCCAAGGCGGAAGTCAGACATACTAATCAAGCTCCACATACAGCCCAACTGCTCTTTCTCATTTCGCACAGCACGTCTATTCGATCTTTTGGCCATGATAAATGTGGTTTTCTTACGAGATTATAACGATTTGATGATAGAAATTTTTTTCGTTGAAAGGTGGCCTAGAATCTGATAAACAGATAAAATCAGCAATTAGAAAGGACCTGAGGGTGTGAGGAGATCACTCCCCAATTGAACGTACCGAAAATGTTCCAATCAACATAGCTACTAAGTGAAGAAAAAGAAAAGCCATTGATATGTTGATACCAGATGTGTGAATAAACCATGTCATAATCCATGTAATTGCAGACAAATTTATCATTCTCAACGTAATACTGGATACACACTAAGTTTACAGATCAACCGGCACCGGTATCCGACATATATACAGATTATAATCGAACATCTTGGAAAGAAAAATCGAAGATATTCATGTTAGATACATAGCTATATACATAACATAGTAGCTGCCATCTCCCTCATGCAGCACCTAAATCATAGTCCTGGATTATCATACAAACTATGTTGGCAGATCAACCGACACCGATATATATATATATATATATAATCGTACATCTTGGAAAGAAAAATCGAAGATATTCATGTTAGATACATAGCTCTATCCATAACATAATATCTCTCATCTCCCTCATGCAGCACCTAAATCATAGTCCTGTGTTATCTTACAGACTAGTTTTTATTCACAATGTAGCTGGTTTTTTATTGGTCGGAAAACAGCAAAACATCCCAATTTCAACATGTCCTGTTTTTTAATCCCAAGCAGCGTTAACAACAAGGTCCAGAGCCGAATGTTTCTTTGGACGCCATTGCCAAGGTATCAAAATATGTCCCTTTTGCTTCCACAAGTAAGAAACCAGCACCTCAAAATACTTGTTTTTTTTCTTGGATCTTCGGTTGAAAGAGAAGATCAATTTGGGTTCAATACTACAAATCGATGACACCCTTTACACAACTCTTCGATCAGCAAACAAATGATCAAAATTCATCCCATGACATTCCACGAAGGCGTGCGTTTGCATGATTCCAACACTCATAAAAGCTTCGTCTTTTTCATTTTCAGTATAAGAAAAAAACCCACCTTGAAACAATCAAATTCCCACTTGTTTTTCCACTAATGGCAGCCAAAGAACACAACTTTCTATAAACTCTCTTCAAAACTCTAGGAAACAAAAGGGAAAGCTACAAGAAAAAGGAGTAAAAACGCAGCAAAATCTTCAGAGAAAGCATCCACGTCTCTCTACTAACAGCCACTAGTATTCCCTTCCTAACAGATTTGAAAAAACATCCACGTCAGCAGGAATTAACGGAACCGTCGGTCACTTGTTAAAAACGTTAGTCAAAGAATCACGTTGAATTCTTTTTTAAATTTGAGGACCACGTTAAGAAAAAAAGATAGTATGAGAACCGCATTGATTTTTTGTGAAGTATAGATACTTTACGTACCCTTTTGTCAATATATAACACTATTATTCGAATTTATATTAAGAAGGGAGAAATCCCTTTCCTTGCCTCGGTCCAATTACAAATTTATCAACCCTCAATCTTTATACAAATGGTTACTTTGATCCTTGTTTATTTTCTTAGAATATTTTAATCGCAGCGTTTTAAGTTTTGATCAAAATATCACATGTCGAAAGAAAATCGTTAGTTGACTAACGATCAAAATATATTGCTGGCGTGATATTTTCACACGTGCTTAATTGATGATGTGACACATAATACGTCATCACTGTGCCACATCATCACTATCGATTTTTTTCAGTCGAGTCGAAAAGATTAATTTTTCCAGCTGGATTTTGCCCACACCTGTTAGATAGGACATTGAAAAAAATGATTTCTTTTTTTCATTTGGAGTAGTGCAAATGTTATTCTTCCGAATAGAGTGAATGTCGCAGTGTTTTGAGAAGACAGTTGAACAACATGACGTCTTCGGCGGAAGATGCAAAGAATATATATGGTATCTTCTCGCTTGTTTTTTTTAGAAAAGATGTCGGGTCTTCCATGCGTCTTTCGTAGAAGACGTCGAATGTCTGAGCAAGTCTTCCTAAAACAATATAAGAACCACCCTAAGTGAAAAAATAAAATTTGTATCATCATTTACATGAAAATTTATTTTTCACCGTCTTTAACTTGAATAAAGTTGTCGATCCTAAATATTCGAGTTTGAGTCAGGTCGAAATTAGGTAAGAAGATAGAGAAAGAAGAAAATAAAATTGATATGAAAACCCGTAAATGGCATCATAAATAAATTGTTTTGTTGTGTTGGAATCGACTTTTTGTACGCAAGTGAATAAAGAAGGGCTTGTATGTATGCGATGTAATTGTTGGGGGACCATTTAGGACACCATTTGTTGTTTGTTTGCTTACGTTATATCCATTAATATGATTGGGTGAAATAACACCCAAAAACGCATCATCATCATTCTTATATTCTATTCCGATGGTTGAATTTTTAAAGTATAAATCTCAACCGATCCGACTTTATCTGATAAAAACAATGATCATATCAGATCAGATTTATATTCTAAAAATTTTGATTAGATTAAAATTGGGTGAAAAATATATATTTTTCGACTTGAATCAGATCAAGTGAATGATATAAATTTTTTAGGCCAGATCAAATTAACCAAAAATCCGACTCTAACTTGACCCATCCTTAGAAACCCTTTAATATTAGAGAAAATCGCCTCAGTGACCAAAAAAAAGTTATAATATACGATTTTAACCAACTTTTTTTGGATTTGCCAAAATGACCAACAAAATCGCAACGCGAAATAAAAATCGCAACGCGATCCCCAGAATCGCAAATCAGTTTCCAGAATCGCAAATCAGTTTCCAAAATCGCAACGCGATTCTTGAAAATCGCGATGCGATAGTACAAATTCGCATTGCGATTTTCCATAATCGCAACGCGAATATGAAAATCGCAACGCGAACACATAAATCGCAACGCGTATCCGTAAATCGCAACGTGTATCCGTAAATCGCAACGCGTATGGGTAAATCGCAATGCGTATCCGTATATCGCAACGCGTATCCGTAAATCGCAACGATAATACATAAAATCGCAACGCGTATCCGTAAATCGCAACGCGATATTTAAAGCGCCATTATAATCGCTACGCGTATTTTATTTTCAAATTACAAAAAGAATATTAAGACAAAATCCCGTAATCGCAACTCATAACCTAAAACCTAAAATCACAACTCAGTCCCATCTCCATCTCTCACTCTCTACGGCGAAGAAATCCGTCCCCATCTCCGAAGATTTCCGTCCCCATCTCCGGCGAAATCCCTCACAACCATTCACGGTCAGAAATCCCTCACAATATTCAGAAATGGAAAATCAACCTCCGAGGGTTAGTTTTTTTAATTATTTTTATTTTGAAATGTTTGCATTATTGTAGGTTTTTCATATTGAAACTGATGATAAGTTTACTGGTCATTTCAATAATAGATTAACCATTTCACTTAGATTTCATTTCGCGTTACGATTCTGTCGTTGCGATTTTCATTTCGCGTTGCTATTCTCTCGTTGCGATTTTCAAGTTAGTATTTGTCTTTGTCTTTGTTCTGTCTTTTGGTTGAAGTAATGCAATCCATTCAAGTTTCAATTTGCAGAAGAGTCGCAACGAGATAAATGAAAATCGCAACGAGAGAATGACTGTCGCAACGAGAGAATCGCAACGCGAAATGAAAATCGCAACGAGAGAATCGCAACGCGAAACCAAAATCGCATTGCGATTTTCATTTCGCGTTGCGATTCTCTCGTTGCGATTTTCATTTCGCGTTGCGATTCTCTCGTTGCGATTGTCATCTCGCGTTGCGATTCTCTCGTTGCGATTTTCATTTCAACCAAAAGACAAAACAGTGTTGCAAATTTTAGTTTCAAGAATAAACTACTACTTTTTATGTTTATTGTTTTTGGTATATCTTCACAGTGTAGTTTTTGGTATATCTAACTTGGTATGTTTATTGTTTTTGTAGAAATTTTTTTCGGCTCAATTGACCTTGAGAAATAAAGTCAGCCTGGCCACTACAATTGCAAAGAAGCTTTCACCTGCTCAAAGACAATTGTTTGAGGAAACCTGCTTCGGGCCATGGCTGAGAGTACAGCATCCGGGTGGAGATGCTAATTTGACCCATTTGTGGCTTCAGACCATGACATCAAATCTACCCGACAGTATACAACGTGGTGAGGAAGAGATATGGTTTCATTTTCCACCAGCGTATACTTGCTTTGGGCGGAAGGAGTTCTGCTTAATCACTGGTCTACGATTCGGACACGATGATGTAGGCCGGTACACTCGTCATATCGCCCGCCCATCATGGTTATCCCGGGTTTTTCCGGATGAGTCAATGGAGAAGCCGAACCTACATGTCGACGACCTGAAGAAATTATTTAATAAGAAAGCTGGTTTCACTCAGATGGAAGACGTCGATGTTGTCCGAGTATGCCTTCTACTACTTGTGTATGCCGGCTTTTTAGGCAGAGAGGCCAGACAACCTATTCATCGGGAGCTAATAATATTGGTAGAGGACCTGAATGCATGGAATCTGTTTCCGTGGGGTTCGTATATATGGAAAGCTACCTGGACTAAGTTGTCGTCTGCCTTTGATGACCGCAAAAGTTTGCGGGGCGATGGGTCCAAATACACTTTGTCAGGCTTTGTTTGGGCCTTTAAGGTAAGAATTTCTATATAATGTTTCTAAAATTATAATTAATTATTTAACAATTACTAATTTTGTTATTATATTGTTTGTAGATTTGGATATTCGAGGCTTTCCCCAGCATGCGTACATATGCAATAAAAACGTCAAATGATATTCCCAGGGCTATTTCCTGGAAGAGGAAAACTCTGTTGGATTGGGAAGACTTAATACCATATGCCACAATAAATAATGTAAGTTAACACAAATACTTTCATATAATATATAAACAAGTTATTAATAGTAGACGTTTAACTTTGTTTGAGTTTTTATATTTTAGGAGGCCAACATTCCATTACAAAGACTGACACCCACGGAGGAAGAGCTTGCCACTGATTGGTGGCAAGCTAGTCAGAATTTTTTTGATGGCACGGATGATGAGCAGCATCCACTTCCTCCAATTCGAGAGCCATCACCT